CACATAAACAGTGTATTATTACAACTTCAAGTGCGATTTCGACCTTGATGCAGTAAATATCTTTCAAAACTCAAAACATGAAAGTTGTAGATCTTTTTCTTATCATTCTATATCATCTTGAATCATCTTAATCGGAGCTCGAATGACATATTTATGCTCAGATAACGAAGTGATGTCAAAACAGCCCAATTAGCTTGAACAGTGCATTGGCTGCAACTTTAAGCCCGATTTAGATCTTGATTCATTCAATATCTCTCAAAAATCAAAACATTAAAGTTTTAGAGCTCTTTCTTATTATTCCATAACATCTTGAATCATCTCAATTGGAGCTCGGATGAGAGAGTTATGCCCAGATAACGAAGCGATGTCAAAACAGTCCAATTAGCTTCGTTTTGCATTTAACATCTCCATTTGCATCCTAAATTAAAATATAAGAATAATGTGTACATTTATGCTTCAAATAAGTATTAAAGGCTTTAAGAAGCACCCTTTATCACCTTTTATTTGCAAACAACGCAAAACTTTATTAATAGCCGGTTCGGATGGGTAAAATAAAAACTTTAGTGTTTCGGGTGTACGTTGACACCCTTTATCACCTTTTATTTGCAAACAACACAAAACTTTATTAATAGCCGGTTCGGATGGGTAAAATAAAAACTTTAGTGTTTCGGGTGTACGTTGACTTTGGTTCTGAGATAAATCATAAAAATAAATATTTTTAGGTTAAAATAACATTAAAAATGAATCTGAAACGTCGAAAAACTTTAGAGTAGTCATATGGATCAAATTGGAGATTCTTAGTGGTAAAATCGTAATTTTGGAGAAAACTAAAACAGACTGTGAACAGTAAATTTTGGGGCTGAGGTGTTTTAAACCTCATTTTCATCTCATTTGCCCTCATTTCTTTCACTCCACTCTCACCCCCACACCTCTTGAAATCCTAAAGAGCATTAGAGAGGAAGAAAGGAAGGGAAAAACAAGAGATTTAAGGGTAGATTCAAGATCAATGCTCAAGTTCTTCCTACAAACTAAGGATTCAAAATAGGGGTTTTCTCTCATTCATTTACATTGACGCTAGGGTAATTATATATGTATGTTTTGGCTATCAATGGTATATATATATGCTATAGAATCATCCTCTCTTAGGCTTTTTGCAAGGATTACATGTTTTGAACAAAGTAGGATTTAATACCCATGAAATCTCCTTTCTAGTTTTAAAACCCTAATTTTTGAAGAGTGATGTATTTCCTTCCTAAATACTTTCTTTATTATGAATTTTGAAACCTTAGTGCTTTGTGTTGGGTAGAAAAATGATGTTATTGTGATTTCATGTATTTTCTTAGTTGGTTGTGAAATTGTTACATGATATATTTTGGAGATTTTGGATAGATACTTGTAAATTGAGATAAATGTTGGAATTGTATGCTTGGTTGGGTTGTTCGTGATCCACATGAGTGAGAGGTTCCTTGTAAGGATGCTCACCCCTTCCTAAGAGGTTCCCGGTAAGGATGCTTGAAAAACAATGTAGTGATTGGTGAGAGATTCCATGTAAGAATGTTCATCCATTCTCAAGAAGTTTCCGGTAAGGATGCTTGAGAATCAAATATGACCTAAAAGGGGGTGGAGGTTACCACAAAGTATGCCACCTACCAAAAAAATTGTTGGGAATTGAGTATGGCAATTAATGGTTATTATTTGTATGTGATTCTCGTTTATTCATTTAAGTAATGTTTTTAAATAAACTTGAGATACTTTTTAAATTTCACTGTGTTATTTCAAATTATATATCTATGTTATGTTAAAATTGAGACCGACCATTTTAAATGCTTTTCTAAACCTTATATGGGTTTGGAAGAATTTTTCTACAGAGCTTCGTGTTCACCCCCCTATCGCTAACATTTTTCAAATTACCAGTTTGAGGAGGAGGACGTAAGAGTTAAGGAGCCCGCTACTTGGGAGACTCCACTGGACGGGAGTGTGGATCCCGAGATGGACGCATAGAGCGACCTCCTTTCCTTTTGTATTAGACTAGGACATTCTTTTGGAACATTGTGTAGTCTAACTTCTTTTGTTTATTCTGCTGCGCTTCTTTAATTAATTTTTGAGATGTAATAGCCATGACTTGGGCTTATTCTTTTGAATAATGTTGTAAATATTCGTGGATGACAAATGAAGTCTTGTTTCTTAATGGATTATATTAGTGCTCTCATGATATGATTGGTTTTAGAATGTAATGTCGTCCAGGGTGTGTTTTGGGGTGTTATAGTTTGACCTCAGAATCCTTGGTCATTCCCAAGGTCCCAACCACGTTCTTTCTAGAACATCTCTTTCGAGACTTCTTGGGCTTCACAGTTGGGCCTAGAAGAAGTAGGGGAGCCCCGACTCCAGCAACCTAGGTATCGATGACGTCAACCCCGAAAAAGTTATCTATCTCATCTCCCAGATCACCAAATTCTTTCAGGGTCTTCAATCTGTCTGCTACAATGGGATCGAACCTTGACCTCGGGAGATCTGTTAGCCATGACAAGGGAGACAGAAGAACCCGTGGCCTTAAAAGAAGCAGACCTAAGGGCACAAGGAAAAAAGTGGCCAAAAGAAGCGTAAAGAGAATGAACGTTCAAGAAACAGATCTCGAGGGCTAGAGGATCAAGACTCCAAAGACCAAAGAGGAAAACCCTAGTAGTGGCATAAGGATTCAAGAAAATGAGAATAAAGGACAAGCAACGACCCCGACTCCTAAAATAATAAAATTGAAAGGTCTAAAAATGGAGTAACCACCTCGGATTCATAGGATCCGAGGTTGAACAAGAAACCCAAGGAGAGAGAAGCAAAAAAAGGGGCAAGACAGAAGACGTACCTAGAAATCAAAGTCGATCAACAATTGAGAACCCAAAGGGGACAACAAGGAAGAATAAAACAAGCATAAGAACTCTGAAAAATTTGAACACTCACTGAGTTAGTTCGCCTGGACAACAAGAAAGGAGAAGAAGAAAACAAAATTGCAAGAAATTCAAAATAATTGAAAAGGCTGGAATAGAGGGGTCTTTTGGCAATTTTGCCTGTGAAGGCATTTAAGGCACGTGTAAGATTGGATGTGTGGCATAAATACGCGGAACGTGTGCAAAAAAATGAGGCAAGAATGACTTCTCGCACGCATGCAATGATGAAAATCCTGGGAAACGTCCCATTGTGCGCCTCCTAAGTACAAACTGAGCTAAACTTGTCTTTAATAACGTAGGTCATTCCCAATCCACGTCAAACAAGGCTTACTTGGCTAGGGACTAGGGGGCAACTGATGATACCAAAAATTAGCTAAGGTTAAGCTCGAACCTTTTAGCTCTGACATCTTATCTCACGATCATCAGATCAAGGTGCATAGGTCGGGAATAATCACCACCATGACCCTCGGGTACACAGTGATAGCGACAGCTCACACCTTCCAAAAAGTCATGTCACGCCAAGGGAATATAACCCTAACGACAAAATATTTTGGCACATGGGTCGTAAGAGCCCCAAGGGGATCACGTTGATTATGCAAGGATTGCATTGGTTGTGGGAGGACCACAGAGATCACGCAAGACAACCATATACTATAAATAGGGATTAAATCCCTTTCATTGTAATCAAGCAAGTATATGTGCTATTACTCTGTGTAATTCTATAATCTTCTTCCCCCAAGTAATAAAAAACTCTCCAGGAGTAAGAAACTCTATTAGAGTTGACTAATCAAGCTTATGAGTTGGTGAACTACTATAAACTCTTTACTAATCCTCATTCGTTGTTATATTCCTGAATCGATAGTTCAACCCACAAGAGCCAAGAAACTTTGATTGAATATTCCAGTAAACCCCTATAACGTGCACAACAAGATCCCTAAATCATTCACCTCTGCTCAGCCGCGCAGAATATACCATCAAATTTCATTTTGTATGAACCTATGTGTGATCTATTTGGTTAAGAGAAAAACAAGATCATAGTCTTAAAATTTATGATTTAAAGTTTATGGTGAAATCACGTTTGTCAAATAAATCACAAACAAACCATGTTATATGAGTCACGTAATGTTATCCCTCAAAAGATTTTTTTTTTCTTTGAATTGCTCAAAAGTTGACTCCACTCAATAAATATGTAGCTAGACATATATATTTAATTCAAACTAGGCGGATAGGCGTTGACAAAAAAAAAAAAAAGTTGGCGTTCATCAAAATGGTGTTGACTATTGACTATTGAATCTCAAAGTTATCAGGCTTGTTCAGATAACCATTTCCAAATTCTAAACCCAATAGTGAACAGAAACCTATATCGAGAAATTTAGATTTAACAAATTTTCAATATCGGATTAACATCCTTTCCCTCATGGTCTACTTATAACAGGGGAGGAATCACTTGAGTATAATTCGTACATTTTGATTGGGCACACTTGATTTTAAAAGAAGATAACTTAAAGAATATCGAATTAAAGTCTATTTAAATCTAATAATTTTAGTAAAAACTAAGATTAACTCAATTAGCGCTTCTAACCATGAAATTTGGGAGTTATTTCTTGTCAAAAACAGTGTAGATCTCTTATGCCCTTTTCTTTCGTAATTGTATTTATGCATCTTAAGTTGTCTTCTCTTTGGGATTGTATTTTGTTTTTCTTTTAGCGTTTTGAATCTTTCAATTTCATTGTGTTAAAGATATAATCCGTTTGTAATATATATATATATATATATATATATATAAAAAATTGATTCGTTTATATATCAGTTATATATAATATGAACTTATATAATACAATTCGTTACATATAAATTAATAAATGAATTAAATATAAATAAAATATTTTTTAACACGATGCAAACCTACTCCATCTTACGCAATTGACAAACCTAGCCATAATTCTATAGCAAATTCTTTAATATATCGGAAAACCCATGTGCCCTCTCTGCTGCTCTATAAATACAAGTTGATTTGCAGTTCCCTTTCATTGAGTGCATACATCAAACCGATATCTCAAAATGAAGACAAATTTTTTGCTGCTTTCATCTTTGGCCGTTGCCCTCTTAGCAAATGCTTGGCTTGGCGCAGCTGTTGCAGCTCCCAATCCTGTGCTTGACATCACCGGGAAGAAACTCCAGACCGATGTCGAATACTACATACTGCCGGTTTTCCGGGGCCGAGGCGGTGGACTTACACTAGCCAGCACAGGCAACAAAACTTGCCCACTCGACGTAGTCCAAGACCGACTTGAGGTCAACAATGGCCTCCCATTAACATTTTCTCCGGTGAACCTGACAAAAGGCGTTGTCCGCGAATCCACCGATCTCAACATCAAATTCTCCGCGGCAACAATCTGTGTTCAGTCCACTGTCTGGAAGCTTGACTATGATGAATCACTAAGACAATATTTTGTGACAAGTGGTGGAGTTGAAGGAAATCCTGGCCGTGAAACCATAAGCAATTGGTTTAAGATTGAGAAATATGAAGATGACTACAAGCTTGTTTTCTGTCCAACGGTGTGTGATTACTGCAGAGTCATTTGTAGGTATATTGGCATTTATAACCAGAAGGGTGTTGGACGTTTGGCTCCGAGTGATGTACCATTTAAGGTCATGTTCAAGGGGGCGTAAGGGTTTTTTAGGCATAGAAATCACAAATGGGAAATTGATAAATAGGTTAAGGAAGCTTGGTCTTTCCCATGAGATGAGACAGCAATAAAGGATGTAAACTTCAATGCCCTTATTGAACGATTACTGTATTACTTACCTAAAAAAATAAATAAAAAATAATCATAGTTGCATTTTGGATTCCTCTTGGATTATTGAGGAGTTTAGATACCCCATTTTGTCCTTATCTTTTAGCCCATTTTGTTACCATTTATCTCGCATATTCTATATAATAAAGTAAGTTTACAATTCAAATCTCAAAAAATAAACAAAATGACTTTTGTTAGTCACGATTGAGATCCCTTTAAATTTTACTTTAAAATTAATCTAACAGATAATATTAATACCCTAAATTTAATACTTCTTGAGAGAATCCGAGTGTTATAGATTGGTATTAGAGAATAACTTTGAGAATTTGTAGCTTGTCCTAGGTTTAGTTACTTTGGATGACGACTTGTGGGTATTTGATGAATTGATTCGAGATGAATATAAATTGATCAGAGCAAATGTTATTTGTCTTATATGGGTTTTGCCTATGGTGACTTATCTATCTGTTTGTGGATTAACTCTAATTATATAGAAGATGATTTTTAAGGATGATTTATACATAGACTATTTGGATTGGGATCACGCCAATATGATTAATATTTTATAAGAGTTGCATAGCGGAAGCACAATAGATCAATGGTAGAAACCAAGAAAACATGGCAAAAGGACGTGTGCACATGATGACGGCTGACAAGAAGAACTGAGAACAACCAAGTAAATATGACTTTGGGAATATAGTGTATATGTGAATAGTGTATAGAATACGATGATAAAGTTTCTGGGACAAAACTTCTTTAAGGAGGGTAAGTTGTAACACTCATGATTGAGCATTAATAAAATAAGATGGATTACGTTAGTTAGTGGTTTTAAATGATCTAGTAATTACGGTTGGTGTGAAATTTCATGAAAACACAAAAGGGGTAAAATCGTTCGATAAAAGTAAAATGAGATCGAATTTTTTATTTTTATTTTTTTGAGAAATGATACTTCTAAATTACATAAAAAAATGGGTGAACTTAAAAAAATTAAATTAAAAAAATAGAATTGGAAATTCAGATTTTTGGTGAAAGTACCAAAATGCCCTCACTAATCTTTTTCCACCCAGCATGGAGGAGTTGTCTTCATCAACTTGATCCTACCCATGCAAGGTATCACTCAGATGCTTGGGAGTATAAAGAGCATGAGGAGCTTACTAAGGATGAGATCAAAATGTTTTCTAGGCTTAAGGAGAGAGAAACAAAGAGAGAGAAGAGAGAAAGTGATAAGAAAGCTTAGAGCTCGATTTTGGATCTCTGTGTACAAGTAACCATCCTTCAACTATTCAAGGGTAAGCTTCTTAGTATCTCATAGAGTGTGTGTGTGTCTGTTAAGTTTCTGAGGTGGCTGTGGCGTGTGTAGTGAGAATTGTAAAACCATAGGTTGTTCTTTAAACTTCATTTAATGGATTTGTAAAAACAAAGTTTTAATCTTTAAGAGGAACCATGTCCAATGTTTTTGGAGTCAAGGAATCCATTTTTGAAGTTAGACCTGAGAAAAAAAGATGAAGTTTGGTGGGTCAAAAATGGAGTTACAAGTCTAGACATCTTTTTAAAGTAATGAACTCGTAACTTTTGAGCTTAATTTCCTCCTAATTTGTGCATGATCTGCATGAACCAATTACATGGTTAGAAATAGGGTAGACAAAGGTTGAATTTAGGTTTTTGAATTAGGGAAGAAATCAAGGGCCAAATTTAGCTCAAAAGTTGAAAATCTGGTCTTGAAACACTTCTTTGACCCAAATTTCATAAAAACATAGAGATTTTTGGTTAAATTCAAGGCTAGTGTCTTAAAATAGGTATGTAGTAGTGTAGATTAGGCAGAGTTAAAATGAGGGTAAAATGGAGGTGTGAAGTTGGCTAGTTAGGCTGAAAACTAGGAAAAAAAATATCAAGGCTTGGGCAAAGGAGGAGGAAGAAGATCAATAGTGTTTTTTGGGCCAAACTTTCCGATTGCACTTGGGAGCACATGGGGAGGTTCCTAGAGGTCTAATTTTTGGCGTTGGACTCCATTTTTTATGGATTAAAAAAATGGTATCTGATGTGCGATCCTACACTCCGAGCAAAATTGTGTAAAATGACTATTTTTGTCCTTGGGTCCCAATTTGGTCTATTTTTTGGTTTTTGACCAAGCTAAGTTTGAATTCATGTTTAACTAGATAAAATAAGGTTATTTATAATTTTGTATTGAAAAATTCCACTGTGTTATTCTTGACTGTTTTGAATTAGCATGTGGATCAAGGTAGGTTTCTCAATTTCAGAACGGGCAAATCTTTTAAAGTTATTTCTAAACTATTCAATTATATTATTTACATTTTTCAATATATTATGTGAATTATGATTGGTTGGTTCATACTATTTTGGAACTCTGGATCGAGTTAGAATTTTGATATGCATTTTTCGTGATGGCTCGTATTAAATGTATGAAATTGAAACTCTAGGATCCTTTTGTATGAAATCTAAGTGAACATAGAGCTTTACATTCCAAGTTGAGACAATAAAGGTTTTACGTTTCTAGTTTGGTACAGAATATGTACAAATTGAGGCCAAGAAGGCCAAATGGTTTGAGAAAAGTTTGAAGCCATCTATTCAAGACAAGTTGGTAGCTCTTCGCATTTGTGACTTTGGATAATTTGTTGAGCGGGCTACCCTAGTGGGGAGAGATTTGGAGGAAACTCAATTCATTCGAGAGCACTTCCGACATAGGAATAGTCAGTCCAAGATCAGCAATGGTAATAGTGGACATCATAGGAAAACTCCATATCAGTGTTCAAAACACAATATATGTCAAGGGAATGAATCAAGCTAAGCACAAAGTTAGAGACCATGAGGCCATGCTGAGAGAGTGCTAACACACTTGAAGTGGTGTGATGGATGTGGTGACACGGGTCACCTCAGGAGTCACTACCCTTCAGTAGCTTCTTTACTATAGGGACAGAATAGTAGGGGATCTTATCAGTCATCCACAAAGCTGTCATATCAGCAAACTTCTTATGCTCCTGTAGAAACAGTACCACAACAGCCCCAGACCACTCAGTTAAAATCTCAGCCACTGCAGCAAGCTCAGCACAAAGAAATAGGGGACCAAGACTTAGGCCACTGATGCCATAGCTCTATTATGGTTTAGTTCAGCCTAATGGGAATGATTCTAATGTAGTAATGGAGGTATGATTCTTCTCTATAATTCATGGGCTTGTATCTTGGTTGATCCCAGGGTAACCCATTCTTTTATTTGTACATCATATGCAATTGCATTGGGGTTATAGTTTGAGCCTCTTCAGGGAGAAGGGGAAAAGCTTTAGCTTGGCTAACTTAGTGTTATCCTGAACTGTGCCACAATTGTTAAGGATTTTCATAATCTAAACCGTGGGATAGAGAAAAGAGTTATATTGTGCCAGGTTTAATTGTGAACCTTTTTGCATTATTAGAAAAGACAAAAGCAAGACTAGACCCTGCTCCTGTTGGGGTACATGTAATCCCTAAGAGTTTGGACCACTGGTCGACCTTTTGTTGTCCATTTTGATTATTTGGGTTTAATGGAACACGATTGTTATCCTGACTCTGCAGACTACCAGCTCTACTTATATCAAAAGTAGGTGCTAGATTGATTAGAAGGCAATGACACAGATCAACCTACTGACCATACAGATTCTTGATATGACAATTCGTGTTCGAATTCAAAGGTTCTCCACTAGACATGAAAAATTAAACTAAACTAAAGGTAATTCTAACAACCTAAATGTAAATATTTCAACAAATAAATCCTAACTATCATAACATAACACAAATAAACAATTGAGCAAGATTAAGAAGAATATGGAACAAAGTTGCCCAAAAATCCAAGCCCTTCACTGTGAGTGCAAATTCTTCCTTTCAGTTATTGATATCATCCGTCAATTGACTCTCTGGCAACGACGCCAAAAACTTGTTTGATTCCCGATTGAACACACCCAATTGCTGGTGGTCAAGAAGTAGTAAATACTCAATGAGACCGATGTCGATCCTCAGGAAAAGCAAGATTGGTAGAAAAATAGATAAAAGGAAGAACTTTAAAATGAAAAGGGTGTTCTTTCGAGAAATTTATAACAAATTAAGATGAATTTAACGAGATGAGAAATACTCTCTAGCATCAAGATTTGAATTATTCATGCATACAATTCTCAAATTCATGCAAGCATTTATTTTCTCAGTTGATTTCAAATGTAGTCTAATCAACTGGAAGATTTTATTTTGAAAAATATAAGGTGATTGAACAAAAAATAATCAACAAGGAACCAGGTTTGTGAACTTGCAAGGAATTATACAATCATTCCTGGCAAGAAATCAACCTAAAGAACAATTATATCATTTTACAGAGCATAATCTTTTACTAATATGATTCGTTCAATCTATATGTGAAGAATAACATAACTATAAAAAATAAGTCACTTAACGATTGCATTCATAAAAGAATTGTCATATATTCATAAAACCAAATCCTTAGCTAGAAAGTACAAAGGATTTCAAGCAACTATGAGAAGAGAAGACTCCTATGTAAGGTTTTGTTTGATAGAAAAGACTCTCTTTATCTCTCTGGCTAAACCTCACTATTTATATCATCCAAAAAACACTAAAACTCTTCCTAAAAGAAAGATGAATGGCACCAGTCAATATATGCATGTCCGTACAAATGTCTTCATAATCCTGACTATTGACTTGATCAACTCCACAGAGTCCAGAAAAATCCAACGAGTTCAAACGAAAGTGCACTGTATCGTCAAATGAGCATTTACATGCACAATCGTGTCCAAACACCTTGAATTCTCTGGAATTGGCTTCTCATCAGCTACGTCTAGACAGAATTGGCACATCCGGACAAACTATCTCCACATCTTTTTATAC